ATGGATTGATTCAGTGACTGGGATAATGAGGGGTAGGTGTGTCAGAGACAGTAATATTGGCAGAGGACAGAGCAGGGTTTAGGGCTATTGTACATAGGGTCATTATGCATTACAGGTGACTCGATGGCACATAACATCACCACCACCACTTGCTCTCACATCAGATATTGGTACCTTTCAATGTAGATAACCAATATTCAAATAAAATACATAATGTTTACATAACTGGTAAACATTAGGGTTTACCACTGGAGTCTCCAGTGGTTCAAACCCACCAGCAGCTATTTGGACAGTGTTCTGTCATTAAGATTTACATCCTGAGAAACTTGATGTAGATCTCCGTGAGTCAGAACAGTGGCAGTTGGTATATTTTTGGTTTACATTAATGAGATACCATTGCTGTCTTCCTCATGGAGGGTCCTGTTAATTGACGTCTTCTTACTTTCTCTTTACAGAATAAGTGGATAAGCCGTAGCCCCATGCTGCAGAGAAGGGTCTACCATTCCATGGCTGCCGTTCAGAGAAAGCTTTATGTTCTTGGAGGCAATGATCTCGACTACAATAATGACCGGATCCTTGTGCGGCATATAGATTCTTATAACATAGACACTGACCAGTGGACACGCTGTAATTTCAACCTGTTGACGGGCAAGTACATTTTATTTATAAAATAAGTTAGAAAAAGCAGATGTTTAAGAACTTGCCAAATATGTCTCAGATGCTTTCATCTTCAGCACATTTTGAAATATTATTTATGGTGGTAAAAGAGTTCCTATGTGATGCAAATGAAAGATGTGTTCCAAGGCAAGCGGTTCGACTCCACCCAGAGGTAGCTTTGAAGAAAACCCAGATGGTTGACTTTTTTAAATTCCACTACTGGGAATATACCCTAAAAAGACCATAACTGCCATCCAAGTAGATATATGAACACTCATGTTTATCGTGACTTTGTTCACAATAGCAAGGAGTTGGAAACAACCTAAGTGCCCTTCAACAAACGAATGGATAGAGAAGCTGTGGTATATTTACGCAACGGAATACTATACTGCATAGAAAAACAAGAAACTCATGCAATATTATTCAAAATGGGTGACCCTGGAGGACATTATGCTGAGTAAAATATCTCAGTCACAAAAATACAAATACTGCATAGTGCCACTGTTGTAGAATGGGACTGACATCAAGGTTGGTATAAGACTGAGAAAAACTGGATAGATCATGTAGATTGCATTGAAACAGATGGGGGAGAGAACAGATTAAAAGCGATTTATGATAGAGTATTATGGTTATCACAAGAGTCCAGAATTAAGGTTGCATAATGTAGTGCATTGGGGGTTTTGGGGGGCAGGGGGATTGTATACCAACAAAGAAGTTTATCTTTTGCTTTTCGAAGAGAGGAGCGAACTGGGGTGGGGGGAGGGTGTAGAGAAAAAACTGCAACAATGAATGAATTGAAATCTAGAATCTCTGTAAATGTT